GATGGAACAATACCAGCAACATTCTGGCATGCTGGTTCTGGATGTGCTGTGATTGTGCTAATCATTCTATTTAATTATATCTTAAGGTTTGTTGTAAAGTATGTTTGGGTGTGTTGGTTTGTTGTCGGGATGCTCTGACAGTTATAGGAGGGAAATTGTTGAAGCGTGACGCTGAAATCAAGTGATCACACCCAGTCGGGGAGGTCGGCTGTGAAATGTAAACAACGTAGAGAAACTCTGGAGAATTTGCCTGAACATGAAGCTGAGCTTTTCTCTGGTTTGATTATGGATCTGCTTCCATTCAATATAATTTTACTATATTAATAACCTTAATAATAACAAGTCATCATGAATTGTCAGAATGATGTTCTCATTTTTGATAACATGATCATTTTTATGTAATTAGCTTGAAGAAGACAGAAGAATTCATGGTTTGTCATCCATTTATTTTGTTGATATTTGTTTCCCGGGAATCCTTGAGAAGTGTTTGTTTTCCGTGACTTCTCAGCATTTCTGTCTGCAACTGATATGATCATGGTTGGGCAGGGCGAAGGGGAGCTGGGATAACTGTAATAAGGAGTCTAACAAATTTAAGTCAGGTCCTCTGGACGGATTCTTCTTGTTGAAACGTTTCATCTTTTATCCAAAAGACTTCGTCAGGCCGAGGAGCTGTAATAAACTCGGTCTTATAAATGGCACCTTCTCATAGTGGATCAACCAGTTTGCTGGAGACAGCCAGAACTAGCTGTTCACATGATAAAGAAGGACCATCAACCTAACTATGGGACCTTATGGCTTATGGCTACCAATGGGACAGATCTGTTTGGCAGACCGTAGACTGAGGAAGTCCTCTGGATGGGGGCAAAACGTTTCTCACTTAGAGAAGCTAGTCCAGATGACACAATTTGATCTTTTTTTGTTGTTCATCAGCTTAACAATTGGTTGTTATAGTGCCCTGATGGTTTCTTGCTATTCAGAGGAATGAATGAAGATGAATAAATGAACATGCAGAGGCCTCCATGTCCAACTGTCCCATCTTACAATGTTGTTATTGCTAGTATCACTCAGCCGTCTGTGAATAACAAGCGGCCCTAACGGCACTTACTACTAATTTTTAGGCTGATGGTCCTCCTTTATCTCGTGAACAGTTCTGGATGTCATCAGCAAACTGGTTGATCCACTATGAGAAGGGGCTATTTACAAGACTGAGTTTGTTCCAGCTCCTCAGACTGAAGAAGTCTTTTGGATACAAGACTAAATGTTTCAAGAAGAAGAATCCATCCAGAGGACCTGACTCAACTTTGTTGGATTTTCCTATTGAGCAGCATCAGGATGTAATAAGGAGGTTCCTAAAAACCAACAACTTTTCTTCAGAAACCCAGAACAGTTCAGAAACTCAGACAGGAAAAGTCATGAATAAGTTTTCTAATGTAACTCTCTGGCTGTTTTCTCCAAAGCTTTGTAATGAATTTGATTAATTCTACACCTGATTGTTTGTGTATCCATTTTTTGTTTGTTTGTTTTCTACAACTCCCATCCAGCGCTCACCACTGCAGATCACTGCATTTATTGGAGTAAAACACTTTCTAAAGGCACATTTGGATTCAAAGGTGTCTTGAGTGTAGATGCACACATTAAGTTGTTTAATTCAAAAGTTTAGAACTTTTATTATGATAAAATTTTAGAGAAAAAGATTAACCTTCTGAAGAATCTAAAAACATTTGGAAAAATAAATAATAATGTTAAATAAGAGTGTCACTTCAGTTTGAAAATCCAAAAGTATGAATGTTTTTTGTTTGTTTTTTTTTTTAATCTAAGACAAGATAGAACTTTATTGATCTCACAGGAAATTGTTGTGCCAGAGTTTCAGTACAAAGGAACATACACAAGAATCACACAAGATATATAAAAAACAAAAATAACAGAGAATATAAAAATACCAACAATTAAGTTCTAAACAGGTCAGGTGCAGTCAGAAATATTAAAGAGTTTATTGTAGCACATGATTCATTTTATTGTCTTACGTGCAGAAAGGTGGGGAGGCGTTGAAAAGTTTGATAGCCACAGGGAGGAAGGACTTCCGGAACATTTGTTGTGAATAACTAAATTTTCATTTATTGTTTATTTATATAAGAACATGTGTTTATTGTCAGCACTTACTGAACACTATGGCACTTATAGCCTAATAATCCAAACAAGAATATAACAATCACAACAGCATCATTAAAAGGGTGGCAATTATTCTTGATTACAAAATTGGATTTCTTTCACAAAATGCTTCCGGCTTAATCTAAACTGATTTCAACTAGAAATAATTTTTAAACCCTAAATAAATTTGAATAAAATAACGTCATTGTTTGTCTTCTTTAGTGAGTCGCCTGCATACTCCGCAGTATAGAAATAATAACAGATAACATACGAGACAGTTTGTTGTTTTAAAGTTTATAGGTGTAGTTAATGTCCAAACATGTCATCACAAAGAAACTCGTTTCAAACGTAAAATTATTTTTACCAAGATTTTCTGAGAACCCTCTGAAAGTCTGAGATTTTTTTTAGAAACCAAACAATTACTGAACCTCCTCTTAACACTGTATTTTCAAACTATTGAGAAAAAGAAACAAAAAGATAAATATTTTATAGTTTGAATGTTGAAGTTTTAGAAATAGCATAATTTTTGTATAGATGAAAAATACAAAGTGTTTGTATTTTTCACTTTTTATAACTTAATCACATCACATGTTTAAAATATTGTCAATTTTTTATTTCCTATTAGTTGTGATGGCAGATGGAACCCTGCAGAGCCACGCCTGCACAGATCCACAGCGCATGTGTCATGCGGCTCAGTGACTGTGGATTAAACCTTCCATTCAAGCAATTTGTCTTGTTACGTGCAGCATATCTGAGTGAATGGAGGAAGAAGGGCGACACTTGCTGCTCACTTTACTACACTTTTATTATTTGTTTTACACTCGTTAAAGTGGGGCACCAGCTGGTCTAACCAGCAACAATTTAATAAATGTATTTATCCTTTAATAATCATAATTAAGTCACTAGAATCTGTTAATTACAGGGAGTTCATTCATCCAAAGGAGGAGGCTAAAATTATCTTTTAAGTTTTATTACCAAAATAATTAATCAAACTAAGAATCATCAACAACAATAAGCAAATTCAACAACACAAATGATAATGGATAATAATTTGGAGAATAACTAGTTTGAAAAGTAGTTAAACAATAATGAACAATCTAAGCAATAATTAATTAGCCGTGGATTAATTCTCTTTTATCTAAGGCAAAATTTATTATTTGAGCAGGAATTATTTTAGCTTTTATACACACACAAATTCAAACAAAGTTTAAATATTTGATAAATAGCTTACTTTGGATTTTGGTTGATAGAAGTAATTTAATGTGACCAGATCAAGTCATTTATTATCACTGCAAGCAGGACATGATTTACCAAGTTGCATCAGCTAAAATGGCCTAATCAGACCCAACGTTGCATCATGTCACCAGGTCTCGGCTTTTTGCCGGGTCAAAAAAAAAAAAAGTCCGTGCTCAGTAGTCCAGGTATACAATCCTACATTTTTCAGTCAGGTCATCTGGACAGTTTCTTTTTTTTTCTGAAACGTTTCACCTTCCATCCAGAAGTCTTCATCAGTCAAGGAAACACACAACACAAAACTGATTCTTCCCCCAAACAGCTTACCCCAAAGTGGAACAAACCAGTTATGTTGGTGCTAAGATGGTGTTTTTGGCACGCCCCCTCCTCTGTTGCCGGCAATCTTCCTCGTCAACAGTCATGCCAAACTGGTTCAAAACCAAAAAAGTCCATCAGTTTGAGGGCTGGGTGCACTCATCTTTACTAGCCAGACCAGGCACTGCCCAAGGGAGCAGAAGGTCACTGACTGCTTCAGTGGTTGGTGTAGCTGATGAGAAGGTGTGAGGGTGATCAGCAACTGTCAGCCGGCTTACACTTTGAGAGGAAAACGTCTCGTAGTGAATAAAACAACTTCATCTTCAGTAGTTACTTGAAACTTTTACTTTGCTACTAACAAAAATTGTAACTGAGCAAACATGTTAATTTGCTCAGGAATAAAGGAGACGGACATCAGACGACCACATCAGGATGGGGAAGCAGACGAACTGAAAGTGTCACACAAAGAAACTTTGTTTGAACTCTCAACTCTCTGAAGAGTTTCGATGGACTCTGGAATATTATTTATTTATTTTTTAACCTTTATTTATACACGTAGTCTCAATGGGTCATGACTCATTTTCAAGAGAGACCTGTTTTTTGGGAGCAGATGGTGGGGGGGTTAAGGGCCTTGCTCAAGGGCCTAGAGTGGGGCAAATGAGGGTGGAGAAAGGTGTGGGTGCTTCACCTTTTCCACCCACATTTTAATGTTAGTTTGGGGAGTGGCGGCCATCCGATCACAGGCCCACCTTCTCTAACCTGTGCGCCACCGTGCCCCTAGAGTGCAGGGGGGCTGAGATGGTGTAGAAGTAGGGCAGCCAACGTTGCCGTTCAACCCCCGCCATGCCCAAATGCCGTGGTGTCCTTGAGCAAGACACCCATTCCCTATATGCTCCCCGGATGCCTACATAGCTGCCCACTGCTCCACCTGGGTATGTCTCAGGTGTGATGGGTTAAAGGCAGATCATTAAGTTCATCATTGCATAGAAACATACAATGATGGCAACACAGCACTTTCTTTCCGCCCCCTTTGTTTTTGTACTACTAGTGCTTAGCGTATTTTTAGTTTAAAATTTTTTTAGTTCATATCTTAGACCTTATTACTGTTTTTCTTTTACATTTTATACTTTTGTTGGATGTAACTGGGACCCTGTGTACACGATTTCTTTCCATCACATGTACCACATGTGGTGTGTATGACAAAAAAAGAAACTTTGACTTTGAGTAAGTCCATGCTCTCTGTTGCTGTCACTGACCTCTAGGGGCTCTCTTCATGAGAGAGCTCTTTCTTCTTGTGTTTTCAGAGCTACCTGGCTGCCACAGGTGAGATGTGATGCAGCTCGTCAACCACTCCATAAAGAGCTCCTCTCAGAGGTGTCAGGCCCCTTTTGCTGGACCTTGATCTGCAGTGATCTTGTCTGTGTGGTGTACACTTTTGGGCAGGTTGTTGTAATAGTGTGTGAGCAATTTACGAGTGAACAGCTGGAAAGAAAAATGTTTTGTGTTCACAGTGGAAGCTGGTAGGGGTTCTCTGCCATTTTTGCTCCAGACCTTTTTCTCCTGTTTTGTGGATAGCCAGGGAGCTCAACCTTTACTTCTAACTAGTGGTATTTTATTTTTATTGTTAAAAGGGGGTGTTTTGTTTTATTATTTTGGCCTCGGAGTCCCTGAAGCTTAAAGCTTCCCTGGGTTGATTTGTTGTTCTATTATTTTGCGTTTGTGTTTGATATTTCTTTCCTAAATTGTAAAATAAACTTTTCGTTCTACTGACATCAACTGCTTAATGGTTACTAGTTTATTTTGTTACACCTAGTGCATGAAATTAACCTTTGCTGTTTTGAGGGGGTTGTAACACTCTGCACAGATGCCCCTGCATATTATTCCATCCATTGGTTACTGTTCCATGCATGCATTGCCTGTCTGCATATTACATCTTGCTAATATGTGTTGGACTGTCTCCGGGGCTTTTCCCCACAGCCTGCATCTTGGGTCCTGTCTGGTATGGTAGCTCCTGGCATCTGTTATTCGTTCTCCTCTAATTAGTGTGTCTGTCATCTTTCGGTTGCAGTCTCAAAATGTTTGCAACCAAGTAACCAACAAGTCATTTGTCAACATATCAAGTGGCCAGTTTCTGAAAACTACAATTTATTTTTAGGTGCACGACTATTAAAATTGTATTTTTGACTATGCATATTGTTTAGTTATCGACCTTCGCCACATAGTGCCCACCTTCATGTTTTGTACCCACCTGTGCTGAGAACCTCCCGTTTATCTTTTGATTTTCTGAAGTACACTTTTAAAATAACCGGTTGTACTGAGAACAAACAAACAAAACAAAAAATCAGGCAAGTTAGTCAGGCTGGTTTCTGTTTTCCTCAGAGAGAAGGACCAAGAAAGACGCCACACTCAAACACACTGCAATCCTCTTTTTGGAAAGTCGGTTTTGAAGAAGCTGCGTGAGAGCACACAAATATTGCTTCAGTAAACTGTCAAACCTAATTATATGTCAGAGGAAAAAAATGTTTGGTAGGACAACTGACAAAAGAGGCAGGTTTTTCAATTGTGATGCTAAAAATATGTGAGTACACCCAGACCACCACCTCACCTAATATAAAATTATTGCATGGCAGAAAAAGATTAGATGCAGAATTCAAAAGAAGCAAAAGAACTGCAAAACTCAACGAAACACAATGAACCAGATCAATCCTGACTCATCTGGGTGCTTGTCAACACAGGTAACTCTACTCATCTTTTCTTTATATAAATAGTTACAGTATATAGTAAGAAGGAAGTAAAAAAAAATATGTCTTGTCTAAATATTACAATACTTGTGGTCACAAGTGAGCCGGATTTGTAATTATTTTTAAAATTGTGTTCAGAAATTAAAAAATGACTAAAGAAAAATGCATAAATTATTTTTTGTATTTGTGTAGCAATTTTTTAAAAATATGAATGTTTTGAAAAGAAATGTCACATCATGTTTCTAACATGTCAATAGAAATATCAAAGCAAATATGTTCTTGTTTTAGTATTTTACCTTGTTTATATGGCATCTTGATTTGACTGTTCATAACGTCTTTTAACTGATTTTAGTTGCTTTTTGTTGAATTATTGTTGTCTGTACTTTATATGTCATGAGTCCTCATGACTCAATGAGACTACCTGTATATATAAAGGTTGCATGAATAACTAAAAATCATTCTTATTTTTTACCATTTTGTAACAGGTTCTTTACCATTATAAATTGTAAAAGTCATTTTTTAATTTATTTTTTGTTCTGATGTTCAGCTGGAGCACTACAGTGGTTAAGCTGCATGGATCAGTCATGTTCAGCGACACTAGCAGTGACTTGTAGCGCAGAGACAATGTGTATAGCAGCTTCCATTCAAGGTATTTTATCTAATATTCCTTTTATTTACTGCTGAAAATTGCTCACAGTGATGTTCAGTGTTCTCTGTAAACATGAACAAACTGCTCTTTGACTCTGCAGCCACTTCATCTGGAACTACAGGAACACAAAATCTTTTAACTTGTGCTGTTGTGCGTCGAAACCTTATGTACAGATGTATGTGTAGCCTAACAGACTCTGTAAATATCATCATTCATACTCTGGCCAACCCCGTACAAAGCTCGGTTAGGTTATTTTCTAGTCTGTGGATCACTGGTGCCTTAATTTATATGGCAATGGATGAACATTGTTTTTATTGTGTCTTCTTGTTGTTGCTATCTTTTTTGTGTGCCTGTTTTTGTTTACTTTGAACCATGTGCGTCTGAAATAAAGTTTTTGATTGAATTGATTTTAAAAACTGCTCGTCGTCAGCTTTGTCCAAGCACAGGAAGACAGACTTTTTCTGTAAACTTGGGAGACTCAAGTGTAATTACGTCTGCTCCGTGCTGCAACACCGACAGCTGCAACTCACAAACACTACCTTGTAAGTTTCAATATTTAAAAATATTCTAAAAATCCTGATCTACTGCTTTTTTCTGTTAAGTTTAAAACTCTTTTTTGTGGGGGTTTAGTGTTTTAGTTCCTGGCCTTCAGGCATCTGACAGCTTGCAGTGTAATTATTGTAACACTGCCACTTCTCAGTGCACTTTAATGTTCAGGAACTGAGAGCAGCCGCATCTCAGCAACTGGTGAGTTTCATATTTATTTGTGTACAGTATCACTTTTTTGATGACATTCAAAATTGTTTTTCCTGTTGCATACAAAAGAAAAAGAAACCACACATTTTAATATGTATATGCTATATGTAAAATAAAGAATAAATGAAAATATATTGGACCAGAAAATTTAATAAGCTAAAGATTTTAAAAGGAAAACTTTGACTTTAACCCTTTACAAAGCACTGAAGGAGGAACGTGTGTCATGTCCCTCCCCCTTCATTTCTCTTATTTTATTATATTCAGCAGCTGAAACGAGTAAGAGATAGCAATAAATGCCAAGACTGATTAAACTGTTTTTGTTTTTTGTTTGTTCGCTTGTTAAGAAGAACACAATTTATACAATAATATTCTGATTTAATACCTACAGTGACAACTGGATCCAAAATATTTCTGGTGTTTGCATGAGTCCAAATACATGTTTAGTTGCTCAAAGGCTTATTAGCTTACCATTCTTGCAAAATGTTGGTTTCATCACCACTGGACCAAGTTGCTGTACAACCAATTTGTGCAACAGTCCACTAACTACAACTGCAGCACAAACCACTACAAAGACTACCAGTACAACCACCACAATTGCAGCACCAACAAGCACAACACCAACCACATCACCAACTACCACAACCACCACTAGAACCACCACAACCACAAGGCCAACCACCACAATGACAACAACCACAACACTACAACTGCAGCACAAATCACTACAACCACAACACTACCCACCACAATGCCAATTATGAAAACCACTACTCCAACTACTACAGCAGCAACACCACCCACCACAACCACCAGGTCAACCACCACACTAACAACCACAATGCCAACCACCACAAACATAACGCCAAAAACCACGTCAACAATCACAATGTCAGCTACTACAACCACCAGAACAACCAGAACAACCACTACCGACAGTTCAACCAGCACACCAATCACCACAACTACAACACCAACCTACAACGCCAACTGCCACAGCCACAATGTCAACCACTACAATTGTCACAACCACCGCTACATCAATAGTATCAACAATGTCAACCACTGCTACATCATCAGTATCAACAATGCCAAACACTACAACATCCACTGCTGCCACTTCAGCATCCACAACTACAACACCAACCACTATAACCACTACAATGCCAAAAACACCAACCATTAAACCACCTACCACAACCACTACACAAACCACCACAACAACCACTTCAAACATTCCGATTACCACACCAATCACCACAACTAGATCACAAACCACTACAACTACGACAATGCAAACCACCCCAACCACCTCACTATCCACTACAACCAACACAATGCCAAACTTCATTACCACAACGCTAACCACTACAAGCACCACCTTAACAACACCAACCACTACAACTAAGATAGCAACCACCATGTCAACAACAACAGTTCCAACTACTACAACCACTACACCAACCATTACAACCACATTGCCATCCGCTACAGCTACCACAACATCCATTACCGAAACTTCAACCACCACTCCAACTACCACAACTACAACACCATCTACCACAATGCCAGCAACTACAACTACCTCACCAACCACCACATGAACAGTATCAACACATCCACTACAGTCACTTCAACAAACACAGCTACAACACAAACCACTACAACTCCCACAATGCCAAAAAAACACAACCACTAAACAAACTACCACAACCACAACATCTTTGACGACCAAACCAACTACCACAACTAGATTACAAATCACTACATCTACCACAATGCAAACCACTACAACCACAACACCATCCACTATAACCACTACAACACAAACCACTACAAACAACACAATGCCAAACCCCATTACCACAATGCCAATAACTACATGCACCACATTAATCATAACACCATCCACTACAACCAAGATACCAATCACCACGTCAACAACACCAATGTCAACTACTACAACCACTACACCAAACACCACACTGATCACCACAACAACCACTACAACGACAATGCCAGCTACAACCACCACAACTGCAACAGCAACTCGTATAATCACAACACCAACCACTACAATGTCAACCACCACAACCACACAAACCATCACATCAACAACTCTAATGGCAACCACAAATGACACTTCAACCATCACAACTACAACACCAACCACCATAAGCACAGTGCCAACCACTACAATTGCAACACTCACCACCACATCAACAGTGTCAACAACACCAACCACTACAACATCCACTACAGCCTCTTCAACAACTACAACACCAACCACAACAACTGCAATGCCAAAAAAACACAACAATTAAACCATATACCAAGTTTGTGTACTTTAGTTTATTAAAATGTTTAAAATACTATTTAACTCAACTGTTTGGTATTAATTTTGTTATTGTCTTTGTTATAAGTTATAGTTGTAAACTATCCTTGGTAATTGGTGCTTTGAAAGTACCCTCCTTTTGTTAAATTTTGTTAACCCGACAAAATAAATCACTACTTTTATTCAAAACCTATTTCCACCTGGTTTTAATGTTAACTCTCATTTTCCTGGCTGAACCAGGTCATAACAATGACTCTGGCTGGCACAGATTTGTGTTGCCATGTTTTGCACTCCTTCCATAAACAATGGAAAAAAGACTCATATGCACACACTTGATGCAGTGATAACTAAATAATATATTATGTAAAACTAAACACAGAGACATGTATAAAAAAGTTAAATCCTGTTTTGTATTTGCTAAGCTTAATGGAGTGTGCCAGCCATCTTAAAAAAGGTTGATTCCAAAATCCATCAGTGAATGTTCACTCAATTGTTTCTTTCTGAGTATTGTTTTTATTAAACTTCATTTATTTTGAAATGTATAAGAAAATAAATAAAGTAACGTAACAAGATAAACAAAATGAAAACTGTTTGAAAAAGGAGTGGGAAGAAGTACAAGCTTATTTAATCCCATCCTTCTCCACAATTTACCAATAAAAGTTAGTCTGTTACCTTATTCTAGATTACAAAGTAATGAGTTCAATAAGACTTAAACAATAATCAATGTACTTATTCTATATAAATTATATAACAATTATAAAATAAATTATCGTTGATATATTACTTAGAAAGCAATGAACATTATCAAATTATAATAAAACACTCTCTTCATCCTTATATCTTTCAAAAATTGCAGTTTTGTTCCACTCCTTAAACTGTTTCATGTTTGGACAATCCTTGATTTCCACATTCAAACGGTTCCACAGTTTTACTCCACAAATATGTAACAGGACAGGGTTGTTTTTGTTTGTTGAATTGTGTCAAAATTCACCTTTCATTGTTAAAGTAATTTACTTATTTTGCAAGAAAGTTTGTCTCTTACTTGTTATTGTCTTTTTGTTATTTGTAAAAAATAAATAAACGGTTTGAGCCTGTTTACATGTATTTAGGAAGGACTCCTTTTGTTTGTGTAGTTTTGTCGCCCCTAGTGGTGAGTGGTGGTAAATAATATATGTGCATGACGTCATCAGCAGCTCGCCCCTTTTGCTGCTTGACTGTTTCAGAGTAAGTAGTAGTATTGAAGCTCCATTTGTTTTAAATATTAAGCTGCAAAAATAAACCTCTCGACTCAAACTGTTTACTAAATATCATAAAATGGTTTTGTCACGCTGTCACTGTAAGTAGTTGGAAACACTGCAGTTTGCTATCTGTTAGCTAACTGTTGGTTAGCAGTGGTACCTGTGGCTGTGCTATAATAAGTTGTGTTTTAAATGTATCCTTATTTTGCTGTGTAGGGGCAGGAGCTACATACCAAACCACCAACAACACTTTTGTTTTTCTAAACAGGTATAGTTACATTTTCTTGAAATAAATGTTTATTTTTGTATTACAATGTGGGAGTTTTTATGTTTGTTGTACTGTGCATGATAATTTATAAAGATGAGATTTGATGCACATCTTTTTTGGCTTAATTTTTATGGGAAATGTTTTTATTGTTAAAACTATACAATAACTTTCTTAAAAGTTGCCCTTTTGAGGGGACCGAGATGGGGTAGAGGTAGGGCAGCCGACCGGGGACCAGAAACTCATTGTTCGACTCCCAGCCATTCCCACATGTCATGGTGTCTCAGAGAAAGACACCCAATCCCCGACTGCTCCCCGGGTGCTCACATAGCTGCCCACCGCTCCACCTGGGTGTATCCCACGTGAGATGAGTCAAATGCAGAGAACTAATTTCGCCATTGTATTGGAACAATGATGAGCATCAACGTGTGGCATGGAGGCTGCACAGCTGCAGAAAGAAAAGCTTTGCAGAGAGTGGTGAAGGCTGCACAGAAGATTTTAGAGTCAGTCTTCCCACCATCACAGACGATTACACCTCCAGATGCAGGAAGAGGGCCACCTGCATCATGAAGGACCCCACTCACCCAGCACACACACTTTTTGCCCCGCTTCCCTCAGAAAGGAGGTTGAGGAGCATTAAGTGTAGAACCACTAGACTGAGGAACAGCTTCTACCCTGATGCTGTTAGACTCATGAATCTCTAACCAGAATAATCACTGTGAAAAAAATCACATCGTGTTGCTGCTGATCTATTTCATGTTGCTGTGTTCATGCGTGCTCATCTGCTCATACAGACTCATGTTCGTGCTGCTGTTCGGCGTATTGTTTTTGTACTATTAGTGCTTAGTGTATTTTTAGTTAACATTTTTCTTAGTTCATATCTTAAATCTTATTATTGTTTTTCTTTTATATTTTATTGTTGGATGTAAGGGCAGCACGTTGGCACAACTAGTAGAGCTGCTGCCTCTCAGCGAGCAGGTCCCCGGTTCAAATCCTGGTCCGGGGGCCTTTCTGGGTGGAGTTTGCATGTTTTCTCCGTCCATGCGTGGGTTTTCTCCAGGTACTCCAGTTTCCTCCCACAGACCAAAAACATGCATGTTAGGCTGATTGGTAACACTAAATTGTCCCTAGGTGAGAGTGAGAGAGTGAATGGTTGTTTGACTCTATGTGTCCCTGTGATGGACTTGTGACCCATCCAGGGTGTACCCCGCCCCTCACACCGTGAGTGCTGGACATGGGCACTGGTGACCCCCGTGACCCAAAATGGAAGAAGCGGGTAAAAAGATAATGGATGGGTGGATGTTGGATGTAACTAGGACCCTGCGTACACAATCTTGTTCCACGACATGTACCACATGAGATGCGAATGACAAATAAATCTCTCTGACTCTCAGACTCTGAATGAATGAGTAGGGAGGGACAGGAGCTACATACCAAACCACAACCAACCACACTTTTGTTTTTCTGTAACAGTGATAGGCTGAAAGAAAAGAATATCATTATGAGGCTGAGTTCTTGAGTGACATCCATCATTTTGCTGATGATGAACTAAAATAGAGGGGGTTACAAGTTCAAGTTGTGTTTATTTGTCATATGCAAGGTTAACACAGGGTTAACAGTACAATGGAATGCTTAGGATGAGAAGAACCGATTTGACTCGCTAAAAAAATGAAAGAACAAACCAACAAGAAATACCAAAAGCATGAAATAAGTGTACACAAAAAAGGTACAAAAAAGTGAAAAAGTAATTATAATATTTACAATGTCCTAAAGAGAGATATTGAACAACAACATGGTAGAATATAATGGTGCAGCAGGATGAATTTGAATGAATAACTATTTCAAGGTAGTAATATAAGCTAAAATGCACATGATATATACATACACACACACACACACACACACACATATCTATATCTATATATATATATATATATATATATATATATATATA